TCACAAGTGCATCGCTACTAGTCACAAGTGCATCGCTACTAGTCACAGGTCCATCGCTACTAGTCACAAGTACATCGCTACTAGTCACAAGTGCATCGCTACTAGTCACAGGCGCATCGCTACTAGTCACAGGTGCACCGCTACCAGACACAGGTGCATCGCTACTCGTCACAGGCGCATCGCTACTAGTCACAAGGGCATCGCTACTAGTCACAAGGGCATCGCTAAACAAGGGCATTACTACTACTAGTAGCTAGAAGCTAGTAGCAAGATTCCCTGTCCCCGACTTTATTTGTAACATGTTGTAACCGTCCCTTGCACAAAAGGTCTGTTTTGGTTGACAGCAGGTTGAGGGAATGTCCCTTCCCCTCCTGTGTGGTTTTTTCCTTTCCTCGCACCTGGCCAGGTACACTGCTCAGTCGGAGAACCTGTCGACCATGCCCGCTCCCAGTCTGCCCTGCTGTGATGCTGTTGCTGTGCTGCCGTTCCTCTGAAAATATCCGCAATACCCGGTTTTTTCAGTTCCTTCCAGTGATGTCTTCACTGTTCTAAGCCTGTGACAAAATACTTCTGTCATCATGCAAGAAGGGAATTGTAAAGCTCAGTCTTGAAAACCCACTACCTGAAGACCTATACAACAATTACAAGTAGTGTTGTAGTTAAGGGGTTGTTCAAGACCTAGATCCACAGCGAAGAAAGGCCTAAAGTCGGCAAACAAATACAACGATAAAGTACACGCAAAAAGAAGACCAAATGACGGCCAACAAGGCAACAAAACAAATGACCTATCCCATAACACAAGCCAAGTTGATCTAAAACAGAGGCCAAATAACAACAAATAGAGGTCAAACCTATCCCAGATTTTCACCTGCACATCTAGAACCAACCTCCTAAAGAACTATCCGAAAGCGTACTAGATATATTCTCTCACTGTCAGCAAAGGTTGCTAAGTTGGCCAAGGGTCAGATTGAAGATTCCCAAGGCCAGCAGAGCAGTAGAGCGCACGCAGCCACGCTCGTGGCCCTCAAACTTCAAGGCCTTTCCAACACATACAGGTTCAACTGCAGGCCTTCACACCTGTGCATCTTCCCTACTACGAGTTGCTCTAGAAATCAAAACCTGCTGATACTGTGGGAATGTCCACATCAACATAGTCGCACAAAGGACTTGCATGTGTTTGGCCTCACACTCCAGGTTGCGCAGCCAGAACCACGAACGCAGCACGTGCCAAACCTTGGTGGGGATTTGCACACTGCAACGCTGGAAAAATTGAAAAAAAGGAGGTTGTCCAGCCTGTTCTGACGATGTCTAAACTCGTCTCAAGTGTTTATGTAGACACTTGAGACACTTGTTCCAGGCCGATTGCTAGTCATGGCACTCCCTGAGAGGGCATTCCCTGCATGATCTCCACCACACCAGCGACAAGATTGCACAAACCTGCTCAAAGCACAAGGTGTCTCAGCTCATAGCGAGGGCGCAATCAACTAACTGTACCATCCATTTAACAGCACCCTTGCAGACTGAAGAAATGAAATAGACATGAGAACAAACTAGAGTGAAATGACAAAACGACTGATATTGAAATGCCTTTCAACATTGCTTTGTTCCATTCCAATATTGTTTGAGTAGAAGGGCCTTCACCTTGATTGGCTGCATTTGCGCAGTGCAATAAGTCAGGATTTGGTGAGGAGTTGCATGTTCAACCTCTTTGTGCCTTTGCGGTGACCAACGAGAAACAGAACCCCGGTTTAAAACCATCCAAACCAACCCTATTTTTACCCCACCCTTTTTTCCCGAGAGCGCCTGAGCGAAAGATGTTTTTGAAAGAACAGGTGCACCATAGACAACAACAACTTACATCCGCACAGAACCACAAGTTGAACATTCCGAACCAGCACAAGTTCACACCTGCACATCTTTACACCTGCCCGTCTTGACATCTGCACATACATCCATACATATCCAGACATGCACATCTTCACATCTGCAGGTATCTCCCCTTCTCTTTGTTCCTTTCTCTTTTCTCTCTATCTTCTCTCCTCTCTTCTCTTCTCTCTTCTCCTCTCTCTCTCTCTCTCTCTCTCCTCCTCTCTCTCCTCTTCTCTTCTCTTCTCTTCTCTTCTCTCTTCTCTTCTCTCGTCTCTTCTCTCTTCTGTTCTCTTTTCTCTCCTCGATTTTTCTCAAATGTTTTTTATCTTATTATGGGTGTTTATTTTTGTGTTCGTTTTATGTTTTGGTGTTTTAATGTTTTCATATTTTTTTGATATTGTGTGGTGTTTTTTGTCTTCTTTTGATCCCTTTTAAATATGTGTATTTTTTACAGTGTTGTTTTTTCTTTTTGTTTTTGTTGTTTTCTTGTTTTTTTCTTTTTCTGTGCTTTCTTCTTATTATGTTCTTTTATATTTATTCTTATTGTTCTTCTTCTTCGTCATTTTTTGTTTTATCTTCTTTTTCTTCTTTTTATTCTTCTTATTTTTCTTCTTCTTCTTCTTCTTCTTCCTCTCTCTCTCTCTCTCTCTGTGTCTTTGTCTCTGTCTCTTTCTCTTTCTCTGTCTCTGTCTCTGTCTCTCTCTCTCTCTCTCTCTCCTCTCTCTCTCTCTCTCTCCCTCTCTCTCTCCTCTCTCTCTCCTCTCTCTCTCTCTCCCCTCTCTCTCACACTCACACACTCACTCACTCTCACTCTCACTCTCACTCTCACTCTCACTCTCACTCACTCACTCTCACACTCTCACTCGCACTCTCTCACTCTCTCACTCTCTCACTCACTCACTCACGCTCACGCTCACGCTCACGCTCACGCTCACGCTCACGCTCACGCTCACTCTTACTCTCACTCTCACTCACTCACTCACTCACTCACTCACCCTCTCTCTCTCTCCGTCTGTCTGTTCTCACTCTGCTCGCTCTTCTCTCTCCTCCCTCTTTTCTTCTATGTCTTTCTCTCTCGCTCCTGTCTTTTTGATCGCGTTCTCTTTCTAACTTGGGCTGGGCGCGGCGCCGAGAAGTCGGCATGAGACGCAACACTTTTGCGGAAATGAATGTCAAGCGTTGTGAACATTGCAAATTCAAGTGGTCCGCGGCAACCCTCTCACGCCAAATTTTGGCCAAGTGTGAAAACGGCAAGGAACATTCAGATTTCAGTCTGGTCCGCGGCAACCCTGTCCGCAGGGCCCCGCCGCAGAAGGCGGCAAGACCACGTGTAGACCACGCGCGGGCAATCCAGCACGGTCACTGGGGAAGAGGTCTGGAGGTGCGCTCGGACGGAAGCCAGAAAACCTCGCAAATACCAGTGTTTTCGGCTCTTCCGCGCAAACACACGCGCAAAAACAACATCCAAAAACACAATGCGTTCGCATTTTTTGCAAACACGCAACGCTGTTCAATTCTTCCCTTTTGTTAACATGTTCGCGCGGGTATCCCCCTCCTTCAAGATGGCCCAAGATGGCCCCAAGGCGCGAGTTAGGCCGGCCAAGTTGCTGTGTTTATGGCCAAAGCAGCAGCAACAACAACAACAACTACAACTACAACTACTACTACTACTACTACTACTACTACTACTACTACTACTACTAC